GTATGCTGTGGATAAAATGTGGGCTATGTGCCGTGTAATGTGAAATGAATGTGGGCCTAGTGCCATGTATTTGAATGTAATGTGGGTTGTGTGTCGTGTGTAAGAATGATTATTGCATGCATGAATGGAATGTGTGTGAATAGGCGTGTTAGCGCTGTTGTAATGTGCTGTGAATGGTTCAGTGATACACTAGGGGTGTGGAAGATGAGGACGGTAGAAATACCTTGGGGAGGAGAGAGTGGTGGTGACACCGACTGCGGAACGGGTGCACCACTGGCCACACACTCTCTTCCTGACCAGACCTATGACCACTACCTTTGCTGAGTGACCCGTGACTGCCCACATGGTATCTGTAAAGCAGGGGTAACCGGCGACCATTCATGGTGTAAATCTATGATCACAGTGTCACAATGAGCGTGGCAGGCGTGCATATGCATGGGTTTATGAATTGTGCTTATGGATGTAAAATGCTGCTTGCGATTGTGTTTGTTTAATGTATTGAAAATGTGCTGGATGTGAGACTATGTTTGATTGTGTTTTGGTAGCGTAGAGTACTCACCCTTACATTCATTTTTCAAGTAATCAAGACGATCAGCACCGGACTCAGTGAAGGGACGAATGCACTGCTATAGGACTTAGATTTTATTTTGAAAATGTTGTAATTGAATTAGTCCTATAGCAGTTATTTGATATTAACTTGTAACCTTTCACTTATTTGGAAATCTTTTATGAAAATTTGGTTATCCGATTTGCGAAATTATTATTTAATCGAAATTAAAATTAAGGTGTTACATTAAGCATGATCGTGCATGGGCTCGAAGCACCCCGTGCTTGTTGAAAGGAGTGGGTGTGTTGACTGCTGCGACTTTAATCTTCCATTAATTTGGGCCCAAAACACACTCAAAATCTATTTGCGGTCTTTTTATGCCAAACTGCATAATTAATATATAGATTAGTGTAAATCTCAAATAAAATAAAGAATAAATATGAATATATGGACTGTAAAATAGGGTCTAATTACAGACTTATCATTGTCTCACAAATTTTTTTTTTGTAATTAAGCAATTATTTCAAGTGCATATTTATGATTGGTTTTAAGAGCTTGGCCATCAACATGGGTAGCTTTCTGTTCATAGCGTGCTAGGTTGCAAATAAATAGTACAATTTGAATTGTTCAAATATTTAGTAATGTTCAATTGCATGGTTTTTCATTTGTTTCATAGGAACTGCATATGGAAACCACCCACATCAGTGAAGAACTATGGCTTGGAATCTGACATCTAAGTTGGAAGACAGATTTGATTGTTCTCATTGATAACCCATCACCTATCCCATAGCATACATTGATGTAGTAATTCAAATGGTACTCAACAAAAGCCAGTCCTGTCACTTTTCTTGGATGAAGCTAAATCTCTCGGAATTCCTTGTGTTTTTGCAATATCAAAGATATTGTAGTTAGTGCACACCATCAAAAGGCAGCAATTAATGCTGAATTGAAAGCATATAAAGCATCTCCTAGCTCAACTGAAGTAGTAAATTATTTGGATGCAAACAATACAAATTCTAATAAAAGGGTGGTGGATGTTGAAAAGCCTGTATTTGCCCATCAGTCTTTCCTGAAAAAAGACCTCTTAACAAATCCACTGGTTACTTCGCAGTCATAACGAGTCATCCTTTCTGATGGAAAAATCTTAATTTCAGGGTATCACATCTCATTTTTGCTGGAATAATTCTACCAGTATATCAATTTGTTGTGTGTGTAAACTGTTATTGTGATTTGAAAAATATTCCTAACATACTCTCTAGCAAACTCCTTTAAATATATAGTGTAATTTGATACGATTTAGTATAATTTTTAAATTTTTTACAAAAAATAGAGTAAATCATATATAACGTATACAACTTATCTTTAACTTTTTTATAAGGCGTGCTTAGAGTTAACGACTCTCAATATATATTTTTTAAAATAAAGAAAAGGGTCGTCAACCATAGTTGTATGATATATACTATTTCTATTATAATTAAATTTTTAATTTATTTTAACATTTATATATTAATTATTAAAATAATTAAATAATCTTTTATTTTTATTTTGTGAGGAAAAAATTCGATCTAACTAGCGGTCTCGGTAATTGAACTACTAACTACTGTATAGTTAACGGGTAGGTATTACTGAGAGCCTTTATGCTGAATTCTTGTTTGTGCGTTCCTTTAGCTTCTAATTTCTTCCTCTCATTGTCAGTGTATTAAACTTTTTACCTGTAAACCGGATTTATTTCCCATTCTTTCAATAAAATTTTACTATGATTAGTTGTTTAAACTCAGTCCTTAGTCCTTAGGACTGAAATTAATATTTTTTTTTTTTTACTTTTTAAAAATAAAATTTTTAGTCTCTTAAAATTTTGTAATGTTTTATTTGGTATCTCATTTTTTTAAAAGAAGTCCAATTTTCTTATATTACTGATTAATTAGAATACACATGTGATCCTTACGGTTAACCTTTATTTACAAAATTAATTCTTATAATTAAAATTTACATTTTAATTCTTATATGAGTACTTTTTTAATATTTTAATCCCTTTCATTTAATGTCATAAATAGATGGCAAGGACTAATCCAAAAATATTTACTCATGGAAGGACTAAATTATAGCTTTCTTTTTAGAGACTAAATTTAAAAAGTGTGTCAACTATAAAAACTAAATTTATAATTTAAAAAAGGTATAGGCAGAGGTGTTAGTCAGAAAATGAGTATGAGACCATGTGATGCATTCTCTCAAAGATAGATTGTGTATACTTAGATAAATATCATTCACTATCCTACATTTCTCCTTAGATTACTAAAGTCGGCCTCATATTTCATGTCTCTAGTATATCTCTATAACAATTCACACTAATTTCTTTATTACTTTTTTACCCATAATATCCCTTCTTTCATCTTTATTCTCATCATAATACAATTTAACTATTGTCATTCATATATAATCACTTCATCAATCAATTTGCTAGAGTTTGGACACCTCCAGACTTAACCCAAATCATATATTACAACTGTTGTATTTCATATCATATAATGAATATTCAAGTATACATCAACTCAATCACTTAAGGTCAAAGAAACATACATCACCAACCTTTCTCAACATTAAAAATCATTCAAACATATATTTACAACAAAGAAAACAGACTACCATGCTCTCAAGATTACAAAATATCTGCTATGTTCTAATGATGGAATAGAGCTCTCCTTACCTCAATAAAATTATTTGGTAAAGGGTTTTGTGAAAGATCTTGCTTAAAGACTGAGTTTTTCCTAAATATTACAAGAAATCCTTTTTAGAGGTGAGGAACAATAAAATAACTAAGAGAATGAAGAACCAAGCTTTAAGAACTTACCAAATAATAAGAGGAATGAATTTCCAAGCTTGGATTCGGATAAAGAGTGGGGTTTACCAAGGGTTTTTCTATGAGAAAAGAAGACAGAAGTCAGAGAAAAGTGAGGGAGTTCGTAATTTAGATTATAATTCAAGTTTCTTAACTTGAAAACTCTTAAATACCCCTCAACTCACAACATTCTCACTACAGCGAGCTGTCTCTCGCTACAGCAAAAAAACCAGATATTTTTTTTCCTTGTTGCTTGTCATTTTCGCTGGAGCGAGGACGAGAATTTTTTGCTCCAACCAGAGTGTTATTGAAGTCAACCTTATTCACTTCTCATTACAGCGAGAAGGCTTCAAAGAGCCTAATTTTTGGATGACATTTCTAGTTACAGCGAGACACATCTCGTTACAGTGAAAAATCCTACAACCCATACTCCTAAAACTTCCTTAATTTTAAACAACATACGTCAATAATTATCCTACAATATCAAATTAATAAATAACAAAAATGAGGGTGTTACATCCATCATATAATCATAATTATTAGCTACCCTAATTATCAAAATTCCTAGGGTTCATGTAATTTGGAAAAAAAATTAACAAAGAATCATGAAATTCACAACCAACATTCTGATACCAACTATTAGATATCAATCTATTATGTAATTTCTATCTTTAATATAACTATTATGGAATTACTATTTTCATTGATCTTGAATTCCGTAGTTCTTACAACAATATATAGTTATCACACAATCAAAGGTTTAGAGAGCACTAACCTAAATCTATTGTTTTTTGGTGTTATTACTTTCCTTTGATGTTGTTGAATCCTTAATATTTTTTTCAACTCTTTTTTCTTCTTTTAGCTCATCTCGATGGTTGAGAGAAAGATTCCAAAACCAACACAATCCAAGCTTGCATTATGCAAGCTACATATCAATTTTAAGGAAGAACTAAGTTTATAATTAGTTTATAATTTGTAAAAAAAATTCTCTTTAATTTAATCTTATTAATATAATAGAATATTTATTATTAATAATAAAATATTTAATTTTTTTTTAAAATTATATAATATTTTAATTTAAAATTTATATTTTTTAATAATCAAAGAAGAAGAAAAATTTATTAACATTAAATATATGAAGGATAATTTCAATTTATCTTTGAAACAAATGAATACTAACTCAAAAAATAGTTAAAAGTATTTTATTAGAAAAAGAAAGGATCCAGTATTTAAAAAATTATTTAAATTATATAAATTTTAATTTAGAAGTTATTTTTAATAATCAAAAAAGAAAAAAAATTATTAACATTAAATATATGAAGGATAATTTCAATTTATCTTTGAAACAAATGAACACTAACTCAAAAAATAGTTAAAAGTATTTTATTAAAAAAGGAAAGGATTCAGATTAAGTGCAGTTCACGCAAAAACTGCACCGTGTATTTAAATAAAATTTTATATTTTTACTTAAGCAAAAATATGTGCATTTAAGCGAAATTACAAAATAGGTAAGGGAAAGGCGCAGTTATCCAAATCCGAAAGGAAATAGCTCAATAATTCTTGATTTACCCGACATTTACACTAAAACCACAGAAAAGGGAATCAGTACCTTTATGATCAGTAATCGTCATCATCATTAAGGTTAATGTGTGGGATGTGTGCGATTTGAGCAGCACTTCTCTCTCTTCTGCATTCTTCAATTAAGAGGGAACAATTCATGACCTCAAAGAACTTTAAATTGGTAAGACGCCTCATTCCTTCGGGCAAAGATGCCAAATTTCGGCAGCATGAGATTTTGATATGTTGAAGCAATGAGAGGTTGCAAATCCAACCTGGCAAAGCCTTTAGGTTAGCACAATTATATATGCTGATTTGTCGCAGAGTGGGGAGGCAGTTGGTGTCGTCCTTAAACGCAGTTTCAAATTCGTCAAGCGTTTCACTTTTACACCATCCAATTTGAAGAAACTCGAGAGAAGTCAGATTTTGCATCCAACCCTTTGGTAATTTCATAGAAATCGTCAGATTTTCGAGCATAGAAAGAGGAGCAGCCGAGGAAGATGAATCAGCTAAACATGTTGACGCTGTGTTTAATGTGGCTATTAATGGCTCTGGACTGCATTCATACACTTCTAAAACCTTGACTTTTGGAAAAGTAGGCATGCAAGTTAACCGTGGACTATAAGAGGCACTTAGTTGAGAAAGATGAGGAAACGAGAGAGATAAGCAGAGATCACGGGAATCATTGATATCATCTCCCGGCCTCCGCCATCCCACAAGCTTAGGACAATGTGCTAAGATGAGGCTCTCCAAAGAGGGGAAGAAGGTTCCTGCTAAACAATCTTCATAAAGATATATGTATTCCAATTCATCAAGACCTACTATCCCAAGTGACTTCAGGGACGGGAGACGTTCCAACGGAGGGAGACAGCTACAATTATCAAACCCACGGAGAGAAATGTCAACAATGTTTGTGAGAAGCGAAAGCCAATTAGGGAAAAGCATGCCTGGATAATTCATCACTGTCAATCGCTTAAGATTATGGTGGGGCTGAAGGTTTTCCAATAATTCTAAGCTGTCACTGTTACGGATACCGAGCTCTCTTTGACGCGATTTCCAATCTAGAGTCAAGGATTGAAGGAATTTTTTGTCTTTTAAATTTACATCCTGTGATTCCAGAGCCACGTCTCTCACACGATTGAGATGCTTAATTTTTAATGTGCCTCTTAGGTTCAAGTCCTTCAATTCATTTAGTGTGCCATATTTTGTTTCTTTGCTGTCTCTCGCGACGACAAAGATGGGTAAGAATTGCAACGAGGTTAATTTTCCCCATCCAACTGCCATCTTACTCAAGGAGCGGTAGTCAACCTCAACCCATCTCAGATTGACTAATTTGTTGACCACTTCGAAAAGTGATCCTTCATCGCAATTCCACCATTTTAATGTTTGCAGGAAAATAAGATTGCTCTTAGATTTGGGAAAACTTGTTTGTTCTCCCAAAGCAAGGTATCTTAAATGCTTCAAATTTTCAGTGGAATCTGAGAGATTGAAGGCGCAATCTTGGTGCATCTGCAAGACACGTAAGTATTTGAAGTTCGTAATAACCGACAAATATTCTTCCTCTTGAAAGACATTTGGCAAAATCAAAGTTCTCAGCCTGCTTGGGTCTAATGATTTCAACAAATGAATGGCCTCATCAGATTCCAGTGATACGTGCACAGGACTGCCTTCAACTTTTTCCGCCTTACTATCCAAGTAACAGCAATCATTGCCAGCGACAAGTATTGCAAGATCATGCATTAAATCGTGCATTTTAAAACCAATGATCTCACCATATTCATCACTCAGTGCATCTTGAAAAATTGAGTTCACCAAAAAAATCTTTACAAATTGGTTACCAATATCTTCCATGTGCTGCTCTTTAGTTGAACATATAAGATAACCCTGTGCCATCCATAACTGAATCAACTCTTTCTTTAAAATTCTTGAATCTTTCGGATATAAAGAGCAATAAGCAAAACATTGTCTCATTTCCGGGGACAAGTTTTGGTAACTGAGTTTTAGAATTGGCATGATACTAATTTGCTCTTCACATAATCTCCAGAAGTCACCCCGTAAAACCTTCTCCCATTCACTTTGTTCATTTTGTCCTCGTAACAGGCCTCCCAGCGCTTTAACTGCCAATGGAACCCCTTTACATTCTTTGGCTATTTCTTCTCCAATTGATTCTAGATTTTGATTCACTCCTCTAGAATCATCCTCAAATGCAATGTTCTTCAACAAACTCCAAGATGCTTCATCAGTCAAACCTTTCAAAGGATAGGAAGTGCTAGCAGTCATTGCCTTTGCTACATTTTCACTTCGAGTTGTCACTAAAATCATGCTATCTTGCCCGCCACACATCAAGTACTTTCTCAATTCAGCCCATTTGTCATAACTCTCGTTCCAAATGTCGTCCAGGACCAACAAATATTTTTTACCACTAATTTTTCCATGAAGTTTTCTTTGCAAGTTGCCTAATGATAACTTTTCTTCAACTTGGTCACCAATAAATGATTCTAGTATTTTCTTCAAAATAGTTTTGACATCAAAGTTATCAGAGACACACACCCACATTTGCATTTCAAAAAAATTCTGCACTTTCAAGTCATTATATACCAATTGTGCAAGAGCTGTCTTCCCCAACCCACCAAGGCCAACAATGGCAATCACAGAAACTTTTTGGTTTTCATGAGGTTGTTTCAACAGACTAATAATCTCCTTTTTACTATCATCTCTTCCAATGACATCAGATTCTAACACAAAGGAGCATGTTTCCCTCCATCCACTGTCAATTTGCTTAACCACCATGGATCTTGGGCATAAATTCAATTTATACATGCCTTCTACTAAAACATCAAAACTTTCTCGTGTTTTTTTAATTTCTTCAGCCATTTGAATGGGAAAATCAATTCGATTTGAAGATGAGAACGAACAAAGCACCTTGTTTACTTGTTTTCCGTGTCCTGCATCCAATTTGTGTCGCATGAATTCGATAGCAAGGTCATCCAACAAGTCATCTGCGTGATGAAGTACTTCTTTGAAGTGCATTATCCAATTTCGCACGCGAACTTGATCTTGTTTGTGGTCAGCATCAAGGAGCACATCGTTGATAGATTCAATTGTTTTCTTAAGCTCTTCCAACTCTTCCTTCACATCATACTTTTCTCCAAATTCAATAAAATCTGGGGAGGCCAACCTGTGAATGAGATGTGAAATGAATGTTGAGAAATTTTATATTTCTCATAATATTAGTTGTACTACATATTATTTATAATATTTACATGAGATATTTACATTTATATGAAATTAATATAAATAATCTAATTTCACTAAACCCTTTAAACTACTAATAAAGGTAATATCGATTTAATAAATGAAAATCAGGTTTAAACTTATTAGAGGATAATGGGAACCTACTAAGTCTAAAATAGAAGGTGTGGTTATGATATCTAACACCAAGTCAAAACAGTTTATTCTCTCTCCATTGAAAGAGAAAATATCATACCTTAACAAAGGAATACGGTGATTTGGTTGAGGAAGTCCATTGCACCAAAGGATCTTGTTCATCATTGTACTAGAGGTTTATATTTTGCCGCGCGTTTATCTTGTAAAGTTATATAAATCCAGGTATTCGTAAAACTCATTTCTTCTCTTAGTAATCTAGTATAATGTGGTATTTAGTTTGTATGAAACTCTATTAGGATTAATAGAAATTTTCAACAAGTGGTATAAAAGCCGATTGTATGGAACCCCATCTTGATGATTGCAATTTTGACATATAATAGACCCCTTTGTTGGTATTTGTCTTCTAATTTTGATTATATTAGTTGATGCAATATGTTACCAAAGTAATCACTGTTGTAGAAATTAATTTGATTGAAATTACATAAATATTAGTATGAGATTATTTATGTGCATTGTACTCAGCCCAAAGTAAGATACAATTTGGCTCAATAATAATATTTTTATGATGATAAATATGTAACAATTATAAGGGTATTTTTCATGTGAGTAATAGTCTGGTTCAAATAAAGGTTATTGTTTGATAAAATTTATTGTCAATATTTAATTATTGCGTTGAGAGTACCACTTACTAGTTGATTTCTATGTACAAAATATAAGAGTCAATGCTTGTGTTCGGTATCCTGTAACGGGTCTACTATATCAATTGTTTTCTTGAATATATTTATTTGTACTGTGAACATGTAATTGATTTATATTGTTCTCTTACATGATCTATTGCTAGTGTTATAAATGTTTCTGCTCAATCAAATGATCTCCCAACATTGAATGAGATGAATTTTAAGATTTAAAATAAAATTATAGAAATAATTTTGAGTTGAATTGGATTTAAATCTTACACTTCAGACACTTCTTTAGAATTTTTCATTTCATTGTTATTTTCAAAATCTTATTTTAGGGAGGATAATTGGAATTACTAAGGAATGGAGAGGGTTATATTACCTTTCGTCAATGAAAATTAAAGTTCAAAACAAGTTTGAAAGAGGAGTCAATTTTTGTAACCATTCTTAATCTAAGTATAACTCTTCTCAAATTTAGCTTCATCAAAGACATCTAGGTCAATTTACCTTTTAAATTTTATAAAAGTATGTTTCCTTCTTTATTTTTTAAAGAATTAGTTTTTCAATGTAACAATTGTCAATCTACTGGACCTGCTTCTATTACTAATTTTTAAGGTGCTAAATGATTTGTATCCTTTATTGGTGATTGTAAACTTGTAAAATGAACCCTTTTAATAAAGAATAAAATCGGAAGTGACCCACGCTGCAGCAAAAATCTCAAACGAAACTGCACCCTGGTTTCTGCAGAATCTCGCTATAGCAAGACTACATCCAAAAATGCATCCCAAACTATCGCTACAGCGAGACATCTCTCGCTACAGTGAGAATGCGATAGTTTTGGTCCTTCCTCCCAGGGCCCTCTCGCTACAGCAAGAATCCTCTCGCTGCAGCGAGGACAGCCCAGAATTACACCCTATACTTAGGCACTTAGCCCATTTCAACCCTATCCAATCATGCATACACATATACATATACACACATCCACAACATACATATATGTACATATATTCATACTCATTACACACAAAACACCATTGTTACGCAATTCAATGCTAATTTACAACATTTATTTACACTTATACACACATATATATGCATTTAGATTTATATAAATAATAATAATTAATATTACAAAATTTGGGGCATTACAACTCTCCCCTCCTTTTAGGAATTTCGTCCCCGAAATTCAACTAACCCCGCACATGAATTACCCAAACAACTCTGGGTATAACTCTCTCATTCTACTTTCTGTTTCTCATGTGGCATCTCCTTCATCACTCGAGCTCCAAATTACCTTCACCAATGATATCTCTTTACCCCTCAGCTGTTTAACACCATGATCCGCAATCCTCATTGGGTACACATCATACGACAAGTCTTCTCTTACTTGAACTGGGTCAAGATCAATCATATGGGAAGGATCTGACACATATTGCCTAAGTTGTGACACATGGAACACTGGATGTAGATTCGAGAGATTCGGAGGCAATGCTATCCGATACGTCGCGAGACTAATTCTACTCAGCACTTCGAATGGCCCAATAAACTTAGGGGACAACTTCCGAGACTTCAGAGCTCTCCCCACTCCGGTTACAGGTGAGACCTTCAGAAACACATGGTCACCCACCTGGAACTCCAATGGCTTCCTCCTTTTATCATAATAACTTTTTTGTCAATCCTGGGCAGCCTTCATTTTATCTCTGATGATTCTGATTTGCTCATTCTGCCTTTGGATCATATCCGGCGCACACAAAGTCGCCTCTCTGGTTTCGTATCAACACAACGGAGTTCTGCACTTCCGCTCATACAAGGCCTCAAATGGTGTCATTCCAATGCTAGCATGGTAACTGTTGTTGTACGTGAATTCCACTAGCGGCAAGCACTCTTCCTAAGTTTCCTGCTGCTCGAGCACACAAGCCCTCAACAAGTCCTCTAGGGACTGGATAGCCCGTTCAATTTGACTGTCAGTCTGTGGGTGATAAGCCGAGCTTTATCTTAACTTAGTCTCCAACGCCCATTGCAAGCTCTCCCATAACCTCGAGGTAAACCTCAGATCCCTATCTGACACCACACTAGTCGGCACTCCATGCAGCCTGACTATCTCCCGCATAGGCGACCACTCACCCGTCTTGCATTAAAATACAACCAAGTCCTTGCCCAGATGCATCACAATACACATCAAATTTCTGCTCCGAGTTGGGCAGCGCTAACACCGGCACCGAAGTCAGCCTTATCTTCAGCTAAAAGAAACTAGCTTCACACCCCTTGGTCCACTTGAACTCCTTTCCCTTGCGGGTCAACTTCGTTAAGGGCAACGCTATCTTAGAAAATCCCTCAATGAATTTCCTATAATAGCTTGCCAATTCGAGGAAACTGCGCACCTCTGTCACATTCCTTGGCCTCGGCCACTCAGCCATTGCTTCCACTTTTGCAGGGTCTACCATGATTCCTTCCTTCGACACTACATGTCCCAGAAATTGGATCTCTGACAACCAAAACTCACACTTGAAGAATTTTGCATACAGCTGTCTCTCCCTCAAAATTTGCAAGACAATCCTTAAGTGCTCGGCATGCTCTTCCTGAGTCTTTGAATAGATGAGGATGTCGTCAATGAACACTACCACAAACTTATCCAAAAACTCGTGGAAGATCATGTTCATGTAGTTCATGAACACTGCAGGTGTATTGGTCACTCCAAACGGCATAACCAAGTACTCGTAGTGACCATACTGCGTTCTGAACGCTGTTTTAGATATATTTGTATCCTTTACTCTGATCTGATGATACCCCAACCTCAGGTCAATCATTGAGAACACTGCTGCTCCCCTTAATTGGTCCATCAAATTGTCAATCCTTGGAAGTAGATACTTGTTCTTGACCGTTACCTTGTTCAATTGTCGATAATCTACACACATCCTCATGCTTCCATCTTTCTTTTTCGCCAAGAGCACTGGTGCTTCCCACGGTGACATACTCGGTCTCACAAACCGTTTCTGCAATAGGTCTTCCACTTGCTTCTTGACCTCTGCCAGTTCCACCGGTGACATCCTATAAGGCGCCACAGAAATCAGACTTGCTCCCAGAATGAGGTCAATAGCAAAATCTATCTCCCTCTCAGGCGGTAGCTCAGAAATATCCTCGGGGACCAAGAAATCCCTTACCACTGGAATATACTCTGGCTCCACCATGCTTTTGGCCTCCATTGAAAACATTACCATAAAGGCCTTGCCGTTCACTGTGTTCTCCCATGCACCTTGGCTCATAAGTCTTGGAACGTCTGTCATTGTCTCACCGAAGATCAAGGTCTTATCCTACAGTCTAGTAGCACATGGTTGGCAGCAAGCCAACCCATTTCCAGAATTACATCCCGTTGACAAAGAGGTAAACAAATCAAATCCACCTCAAACTTCCTACCATGTACCATTATGGAACACCCCAAACATACCCATGACGTCACAACCTGTTTACCCGTAGGGGTAGTCACCACAACATTACACGGCAGTTCAATCACATACAAATTCAGACTCTTCACACAGTCTACAGATATAAAGGAGTGCGTAACACCCGAATCAAACAGCACATCAAGTAATCTGCCTTTAATTATACATTTACCTCTTATCAGCTCCTCAGATTGTGAAGCCTCTGCCCCACTCATAGCAAAGACTCTACCAGGAATGCTCGGCTTCTGCCCCGTACTTCCTCTTAATTCCGGCCTCTGAGTTGTACTTGCACTACCGCTTCTCTTAGTGGTCCAACACTCATTAGCAACGTGTCCCGACTTTCTACAGTTGTTACAAGTTATCCTCGGCTGTGGGCAGTCCTTCACCATGTGTGGCCCTCCACACCTGAAGCACTTGAGCGGCCCTCTGAAAGAGCTTGATCCTGAAGCACTCCCACTGCTTTTTTTTTGAGATGAACTCCCTCGAGACTGCGAGCTATTTGATCCCGAGTACAGTCCCCTTGAGAACCTAGGGGTCTTCTATCTTGCCTCACTGGACCGGCTCCCCTAGTGTCCACCGTCTTCCCTCTTGAGTTTGCTTCAAAGATTCTACTCTTGCTCACCAGGGAAGGCAAATCTGTCAGCTGAAACACACTAACCGCAGCTCGGATGTTCGGCCTCAATCCATGCTCAAACTAAGCACACAGATCCTCCTCTCCATCACCATACTGATAATGAGGCCAGTACTTCATTAACTCTTGGAACTTAGCTGTATACTCCCCCACGGTCATGTTTCCTTGCTTTAGCTCAAGGAACTCCTTATCTTTCTGCTTCCTTAGATCTCGGGGAAAGTAGTTCCCTAGGAAGATGATCTTGAATGCTTCCCATTGGATGTAGCCATCTTCCTGTGGCAGGGTCTGATCGGCAAACCTCGACCAGTCCTCAGCCTCCCCACACAGCAAATAGGTGGCATAGGCAACCTTGTTCTCCTCTCGGCACCCCCATTGTATTAAAGATCTTCTCCACATTGGCTACCCATCGTTGAGCTCCTTCGGCGTTGAATCCACCCTCAAACTCTGGAGGATCATGCTTAGCAAAGGCAGATAACCCTCGATACTCAGCCGGCTCTCCGCCTTGATTATGCACCATTGCTTCCAGAATCTGAGCCATGCGTTCCATGAGGTCATTGGTACCTCTAGCTCCTCTACCTCTACCTCTACGAGACATATTCAATCTAGCTACAACAAGTCAGCAATCACATTCCAACACATTAGATCAATTTATACATTATAATTCAGGCAAACAAAACAATCAACACTTATCTTGGACGCTTCAGCCTGATACCCCAGTCCGGTTTGGATGAACTGCTCTGATACTAAAATTGTAACACCTTAAATTTAATTTCAATTTAATAAGAATTTCGCAAATTCGAATAACCGATTTTCATAAAATACTTCAAAATAAGGGAAGGGTTACAAATTAATATCAAATGACTGCTACAAGACTAGTTTAGTTACAACAATTTCAAAATAAAAGCTAAGTCCTATAGCAGTCTATCCATCCCTTCACTGAGTCTGGTGCTGATCGTCTTGATTACCTAAAAAATGAATGTAAGGGTGAGTACTCTACACTACCCAAAAACACACAATCAACGTAGAGTCTCACCTCCAGAACATTTCCAATACATTAAACAAACACAATCACAAGCAGCATTATCACACAGCTCATGTCAATTTTAACACCGATGCACTCACGGCATTGGCAGTATTTCACATCCATAAGTACAATACATAAACCCATACATATGCATGCCAACCAACTGTGATAACAGATTTACAGCATGAATGGTTGCCGGTTACCCCCGCCTCACGGATACCACGTGGGCAGTCACAGGTCGCTCAGCAAAGGTAATGGTCAGAGGTCTAGTCAGGAAGAGAGTGTGTGACCTGTGGTGCACCCGTTCCGTAGTCGATGTCACCACCACTCTCTCCTCCCCAAGGTATTTCTACCATCCTCATCTTCCACACCCGCAGTGTATCGCTGAACCATTCACAGCACATTATAACGACGCTACACGCCCCATTCACATACATTTCATTCACACACGCAATATTTATGCTTGCACACGGCACATAGCCTGTATTTTATCCACAATATACGGCACATAGCCTTCATTTATTCAAAATATTATTAATTCACCAATCAACGACATTTTATCACACACAATCACCCCTACGGGGCCCAACTATTCCAACACACATCACATTGCACACCAATATTTCCATCAAACACACAATTCCTACTCTCTATCTTAGCCACATTGCATTATTCGTTGAAACACACAAGAATTTTAATACATTGAGATAAGGTAGAGTCCTCCCTTACCTTGGATTGACGTCTCACACGCTAAATCCACCAAGAAGTGTTCCCTTTCATGGATTTTTTCCTAAACACATGGAGAAACTCCATGAGAACCCAAGGAAACTCAGAAACAAAGAAAAGGAGATGAGAAACGGAACCCTAACCATTAAAACTCACCTCCAAGTGTTCCCCACACGGATTCAACCTTCAATCAAGCTCCCAAACGGCTTTGGAGGCAATTAATCGGTGGAATAAGGCTTTGGGAATGAGGGAATCCAAGGAATTTCGAAGGGAGAGGGAGAAATAATCCTCCCCGAACCCTAACTCCCTTTAAATCTTTTTTTGGTCGCAATACTCTCGCTACAGCAAGACGTCTCTCGCTACAGCGAGAAGACGACAATTTTGGTCCTTCCTCCCAGAGCCCTCTCACTGCAGCGAGGACAACCCAGAATTACACCCTGTACTTAGGCACTTAACCCATTTCAGCCCTATCCAGTCATGCATACACATATACATATACACACATCCACAACATACATATATGTACATATATTCATACTCATTACACACAAAACACCATTGTTACGCAATTCAATGCTAATTTACTACATTTATTTACACTTATACACACATATATACGCATTTAAATTTATACAAATAATAATAATTAATATTACCAAATTCGGGACGTTACAGTAAGAATAATTTCCCTACTTCTATTTGTGAGTTCAGAGCCCAAGTTAAACCCCAAGTCAAGACTTTTCATTTTTGAATTTCTCTAGAATGTGCTCCTCTCAATTAAAATTGCTTTTAATCTATTGATTTCTCCTATCCAACAGGCAGCAGCATTCTTGGAATAATAACATTTTAAAAACTGTTTGGAATGAGATGAACCTCCTAGGATTGCCCTATTTTTATGTAAGGTGGCCCATGGTAGGTTACTGACTAATGAAGAAAGATGTAAAAGAAATATAACTAGTTGGAATAGGTTATTTGGTATGGTAGTTTGATATATATGGAAGAAAAGGAACAGTGCCATCTTTCAAAATTCAGTAATTTCTCCTAGCTCTTTATATCATAAAATATGTCATGAATTTGATTACTTGATTTGTTGTTTCAGGAGTAAGGCTAAAGCAGCTAACCACTTGCAGAATAGCCAAGTCTAGGATAGGTGGTTTCCTCCTCCTCAGGGTCATTTGAATTTGAATATTTATGGGGTAGCGTCCCAGGCTATGGAGAGTGTAAGATGTGAAGGTTTAATTAGAGACAACAACTGAGAACTTTGTTGCTGGATTCTTTGAGTTTTGTAGACTATTAGAGGCAGAATTGTGGGGTCTCTTATTAGGGGCGGCCTAAAGCCCGAGCAGGTAAGGCAAGGGCTTTAGCCCCCAAATTTTTTTTTTTTAGTTTTAATATACTTTTAAAAAATTAAAAAAATTAAATTTAAAAATATTTTTATTTTAAATATTTTAAGTAATTATTAACTTTTTATTGATATTACAAATAACATTTAATGAGTTGTAACTCTTAACCAATCAATAATAAACGTTTTTTTACTTTATTTTTTTAAAAATAATAATTGAATAGTAAAAAAAAAAACTGAACAGTTTTTTACTTTTTATTTAATTGTTGTTTCTTTCTTCTTTTTTCTAACTACTCTCTTCTTCTTCTCTTCTTGCTTTACTTCAATTTGTATTTTTTTACTAACAACAGTCTCGAGGTGGAATGGAAGCGAATATTCATAGTGCAAGTGGAGAAGGAAGCAAAGTCTTTTATTTTTCTAATGCAGGGGCACTGGTACAAGAGTCTTTCCTCCATGACTCAGCCTTCATTATCCACCACACCTACCAAATAGTATTTCATGGTTTTCTCTGCAAAGCTGCACTTTTGGAGGTGAAGAGACTGCAAGTGCAAGTTTATTTTTTTGACAATTAAGTTTTATTGTTTTAATTTAGTTTTATTTTATATATTTATATTTCATACTTTTTTTTAATAGAATATTCTGTACTTTATATATTATAATTTTAAATTCATATAAAAATATATAAATGTCAACTAGAAAATATGAATCAGGCCATTCAAAACTTCAGAAAAAATAAGAGTCTGAGGCTTTAATTGAATCACAAAAAGAAACTCTGGATAAATTTATAAAAATGAATTAGAAGGTCTTCTTTCATTTTTTGAAAAGTATAGGAAAAATGAAATTCAAAATGCATGTACTTCTGCCAAAGAAATTACTTTTGAAATGGATATAGAGCCTAAGTTTCACTAAAAACATATTAGTCGTAGAAAGAAACAATTTCAAGAAAGTGTTAAGAATGAAATTGTAAAATCTCGTCAAGAATGATTTAGAATTGATTACTTTTTATATATTATAGATAAAGCAATTGTTGCACTTTAAAGTAGATTTGAACAATTTAAAATGTATGAAGCTATTTTTTTTCATTTTATTTAGTATTAAAAAATTAAAGTCACTAGATAGTATAATTTTGAAAGAAAAATGTCTAAACCTTGAAAAATCTTTGAAACATCATAATTTCTTGGATATTGATGGATTAGATTTATTTTCAGAATTAAATATCTTAAAAGAAAATATAAAATTGGAATATGATAAACAAATTGACGTTCTTAATTATATAAAAAGAATATATTCTTTTCTAAATATATATAGCTTAGAGAATAATGTTAACAATTTCAATATTAATTGCTTCAGCTGAAAGAAGTTTTTCAAAATTAAAATTAATAAAAACTTACTTAAGATCAGTAATATCTCAACAAAGATTAAATGAATTAGCTTATTATCTATTAAAATAAAATATTAAATAAAATTAATTACAACAATTTTATAAATAATTTTGCATCATAAAAAGTTTAAAAAATAAATTTTAAATAAAATTATAATAATTAAAAAAATTTATTTTTATTAATAAAAGTTTTATTTTTATATTTGCTTTAGGCCCTATAAACTCTTGAAGCGTCACTGTCTCTTATTTCGCTTGCAATTAGTAACCTAGAAAAATATTCAAGTTATTTGGATTGTAATAGACTCTAAGGATGCCTTGCAAGTCATCCTAAATACACAAAATTGTAACTATCATTATTTCAATTTGATTGGTGTAATTAGGAATATATTGAAATGTATCTCTTTCATTAGATTTAGGCACATTCTTTGGGAGTAAAATAAGGGTACATATATGCTTGCCAAAATTGGTCTTGATTCTGCAGTATATTTTTCTTATTTAGATAAAGTCCTCTACCTTAGCTTCTTTTCTTAGTTTGGATTCCGATGTTTGTAATCCTAGAATAGGAAGTTAATTTTTGTTTTTCTAGACATTTTAGGCCTTTTGATTAGTAAAAAAAAAGATAAAATAAAAATAAATCTAAAAATTAAGACATTTAAATGAAGATTAGACTATCAGTAAAAAATAAATAAAATTAGGACATACAAGTGCTTAACAATGCTTTACAAAACTTTAAAATAAATTAAAATATAATGCATTTTAATTTCTTTTGTGAGAAGATGTTATATAATTTTAAAATAGAAATGAGGGTAATGTAATATACATATCTTTAATCAATATTTTTAAAAAACTGAATGATGTAGACTTTTTTATATAAATAATATTATTTAAAAAATTACTTTTTAAAATAAAGTTAATTAAAAACTATTTTTTTGTCTGGACATTTTTTTGTCACCTCAATAGATTTATTGGAGTTCCACGAACAATACAATTTTTTATTATTTTTAAAGTAATATCTCACGTATCAGAACAATACTCACTCTTGTGAAGACACGTGTTAAGCGCAGAACGAGTATCACTTCTTTTAGGACGATAGTGTTATCGCCAACTTTATGACGATACTGT